TGACATGTATGTGCACTCACAAGTAGTAGTAGTAGTAGTAGTAGTAGTAGTAGTAGTAGTAGCATAATACTAGGAGGAGGAGGAGTAGCAGCAGCAGGAGTAATAGTAGTGGTGGTGGTGGTAGTAGTAGTAGTAGTAGTAGTATTAGTAGCAGTAGTACTGGTAGGAGGAGGAGCAGGAGGAGGAGGAGTCGGAGTAGGAGTAGGAGCAGGAGTAGCAGCAGCAGTAGCAGCAGCAGCAGTAGCAGCGGCTACTCCGTTTACTCTCGCGCCGCTCCCAGAGCAAATCAAAACTTTCCGAATCTAATGGAATGCCCGATACACCGAGAAAGCACCTCGACGGCACTGCCCTCTCCACCACCGTAGCCACGCTCTTGCCAAGATGGCTCGTCGTGGTGCTCACCTCTCGGAGGCTGCGGTGCTGCAATTTAGTGGCTGTGTTCAAAATTACATTGCAAGCCCCGAAGGATTTTTAGGTTGAACGGTTTCGGGTGCCCGGAGGAATACCTATCGTACCGCAAGTTGCACACCCAAACAAGTGAGGCTTCGGATTTTGAACTATTGAAACAAACGCCGGTCAGGAATTGTGAGCGTAGGTCGGAGATGGTGCACTGTGCTGATACTAGACATTGAAGTACCGCGTACCACAAGGCAAAATGTTAAAGGACGAGTGGCTCCAGAATTGAGATTAAAGGATTCCGGTGCCCGATGTGTGTAGAGGCTCTTATTTTTCGATGTGTTTCGCTACTGGAATGAACGTCCCTATGATTCTGAAACGCTTGCTGGTGAGTTGTTCACGTTCCAGTCCGGTGCATTTGTTTTCAAGGCCCTCGAGAGCACTTCGAGAGCGCGGACGTGACAGGGCTGCCTCCAGCATAGCTTTCCTGTGGCGGATATCCTGATGCTTCAATTGGCAACGGAATGACACTGTCGGCAACAAGATTTGGGGCTCTACTCTGCGTTGAAGTGTGCTCCAACACGGCATCAGCGCAGGCGAGTAGGCAACGTGCGATCTGTTTGCAGAACTTTTCCGAAAAGAACTGCCTGTATCCCGCAGCCGCTCCTGCGTACCCGCCCTGGCCATACGGATCATAGCCGGGGGCAGAACCATAGCTTTGATCGTAGCCATAGCCGTGGCCGTAGCCAGTGCCATATCCGTGGCTGGGGCCATGTCCATGCTCGTAGCTGTGGCTCCCGCCTCCATATGCCTGGGCTTGGGAGCTCGGGCTTTTGATTTCACCCGGGAAGTGGGAAACTGACTGGCCTGCCATGGATTAAGGGGGAGGGGTTGGTTGAGAACGGGAAACTCGACCCCGGATTGCGAGGTTAGGGTGGTTTTACAGTCACTTCGGTTGGACAGACTTTGAACCAAAACATGCGGACATCACGATAAGTCCCAACCCAACTCGCCGGATTGCAAGGTTCGAGAAAGGGTTAGTTCCAACCTGTTGAAAGGTCAGGGTTGACTTGGAAAAGTTGGAGATAAACCTGAACTTCAGCTTGTGGGTTCGGGTTATAAGGTTAGAGTTGGTGAACTCGAACTCTACGTTAGGCTTGGGTTGGTGGCAGCTAATGCGTCGCCAGTACAACTTTCAGCGAGTTCAGGGATGGCGATCTGAACGCATCTAGAACACGTGACAAGAGTCGCCTGATGTCACCGACTTCGAACTGTCGTGTTTCCTGTCCAACATGCGACGTGCCAGCACGGCCTGAAGTTAATTCGAAGTCAAAGTGCTGAATGTCACATGTCACAAAAATTGGGACTTCTTTGAGGACTGTTTTTGCCTGATTCTGTCTGGACAATGAGTGAAGCTGACATCTTCAGTACACTCTCTTGAAAGGCCGTCGACAAACCAGCACAAGCACAAGCACAACAAGACCACCACCACCACCACCACCACCACCACCACGACCACCACCACCACCACCATCACCACCACTACCACCACCACCACCA